TGAAAGGAGTAAAAGCAGAAGGAAAAAGATAAGTAGAGATCAAATATGTATTTCAGATGAAGGATTTTTCTAAAGGTTAGATTTGGATTTTACTTCAAAACTGAGAAAGACTTTGAATTCAATCTTGTGTTCCCAGGAAGGAAGCTGGGTTTCACCATCGACCTTGGGAAACTTCATAACGTGTCCTTGGGTCAGGGCCAGGAAGCTGTGGCTGAGGTTGCCATGGAGAAGGCTGCCAAGGAGGGTCACTGGGTTATATTGCAGGTCGGACTGGAAAAGATGAGTTTATTCTGAAAGTTTTGAACTGTTAACCCACTACTAGATTTTTAAGGTGTGTTTTCTCCACCTCCCTGTAGAACATCCACCTGGTTGCCCGCTGGCTGGGCTCCCTGGAGAAGCTGCTGGAGCGCTGCTGTGAAGGCAGCCACCCGGACTACAGGGTGTTTATGAGCGCTGAGCCGGCCCCCACCCCCCAGGAACACATTATCCCACAGGTAGAGGCGCACTGTGCAGAAGGGTCGTGTCAATGCAGCACATGGAATGAATGTAGGCTCCCAGGTATATCAGATGTACGCTTGATTCCTCCCAGATGTGAATCTTATCTGATGTGTTTTCCTCAGGGAATCCTGGAAAACGCTATCAAGATCACCAATGAACCGCCTACAGGCATGCATGCTAATTTGCATGCTGCTCTGGATAATTTTGACCAGGTAAGTGTCTCATAGAATCAGAAACAGGCTTATTACCAGGTAGGTTGACACATACGAGGAATTTGACTTGGTGTTGTGGTGCATACATAAAAGTAACACAACATTAATTACAGATTAAAAGCAATTCTGAAGAGGTGAGATAGGATTTGCGATTCAAACATGCTGAGACCGGGGCAGTCACGGATGTGTTTGGGGAGTGAGTTCCAGGGGGGGGGGGGGGTGCTTTGTCCTATGAGGCAACGTAGTAAACAAATTGTTTATTTATCAATTAAAGGTCACCTATTATGCAAAATCCACTTGTTCATGTCTGTTATACATAAACATGTGTCCCTTCTGTGGAAAGAGATTCTGAGAGTTTCAGGAAAAAAGATTCGCTCACTTTTTGTCCTGATCCATTTATCACCTGAATCTCTTCCTAGAGCACCATTGTGTTCTTTTTAACCAAATATCTCTCAGAGGGGCGTGGGGAGGGGCTCCTTATTTTCATCTAAAGCAACAGACAGAGAATCAGCACTTCTGAAACAGAGGGGATTATGGGATGCTACAATGGGTGATCTGTTTGGTATTTCGAGCCAAACACTTTAGAGACATGTTTTGTATATCTGAGACCTAAAATATATTGATGAAAAACAGTATAATAGGGACCTTTAAATCATGGGTCTCTTTATAGGACATCCTGGACCAGTGCAGCCGTGAGCAGGAGTTTAAGACCATCCTCTTCTCTCTGTGTTACTTCCACGCCTGTGTGGCTGAGAGGAGGAAGTTTGGTCCTCAGGGCTGGAACAGGAAGTATCCCTTCAACACTGGAGACCTGACGATATCAGTTAACGTCCTCTACAACTACCTGGAGGCCAATGCACAGGTGGAGTGTTGGTGCATGGGTCTTATTAGCAGCTAAATCATAATGGTGATCATATTTGAACGGATTTTCAAAATAATTGTGATGATTTAGGTGCCATGGGAGGACCTGAGGTACCTGTTTGGGGAGATCATGTATGGTGGACACATCACTGATGACTGGGACAGACGGCTCTGCAGGACATACCTGGAGGAATACATGCAGCCCAACCAGGTTTCTTGTTTTGTTCATGACAGAGAAAGTGAATGTCTGGCTGATTGTTGGCACACTCAGCTTTATTCTAGCACAAACTGGCTTTGGTTTTAGACGATACATATCTGCCAGATTTCACTGTGTTGTTGGATTGCAAACTTGGATTACATTTTGGCTGAGATCATCTCCAGTTAGCAGTAATTTGGCTGGTTATTGGCAAGTTAGCTAAAGAGTTTCTGGCAAGCTAATGTGGCAGATTGAATGTACTGTTGGACCAAGACATTTTGGCTACCTGGTCTGGGACAATTTCATCTTTCTTTTTTAATGATCTGAAGCTTAAAACTTTTCTTTCTGCCGTTTTATTTTCCAGTTTGACCGGAAGCTTTCTTTGGCTCCTGGGTTTGTCGTCCCCTCCAACCTGGATTACCAGGTAACTACAGGGGGAGACTTTTGATGAAACGTGTTTTAAAATCCAAAACTGTTTTTGCTCTCCTTCATTTCTAATTTAACTGGTCTGAAAGTACAAACATTTCAAGTGCAGTCAGGGCTTGGATAAATTAAAATTAAAAGTGAAATTACTACTAGTGAAGTCAATACACTAAATATGTCAGGCTGTAACACACTTTAAATACAATAAACAAATGACTTACAGTGTAGTTTGTTAGGAAAAATGAAAATAAACGAAGATATTCACCATTTCTCCCTCTACATCTCCAGGGCTACCATGATTTTATAGATGAGATGCTGCCACATGAAAGCCCGGTGCATTATGGGTTGCACCCCAATGCAGAGATTGAGTTCCTGACAGTGACGTCCGATAACCTTTTCCACACTCTGCTGGAGCTGCAGTCTCCTGACGCTGTGATGGGGGAGGGGGTCTCGCAGACCCTGGAGGAGAAGGTACAGTAGCTAGCTACACCTGCAGGGACAATTGTTTATTTTGGGAGTAGATGTTGGTTATTTGAGAATTATATTTTCATAAAAAAGATATTGATTCTCAAATTAAGTAATGCAAGTTCTTTATTTACTATCCAGATTTTTTTATTTACCTGAATAGCAGCATGACTCTAATTGTCTAATTCTTAGAGAAACAAGGTGGAGAGTGATGCATCATTTAATCTTGTACCCACCCTCCCTCAGGTGAAAACCATTTTAGATGAGGTGCTGGAGAAACTTCCAGAGGAGTACAACATGTCGGACATCACCTCTAAAACAGCTGAACGCTCCCCGTACATCCTGGTCTGCTTCCAGGAGTGTGAGCGCATGAACACACTCATCTCTGAGATACGCCGCTCTCTCAAGGAGCTCGACCTGGGACTCAAGGTACGCTCCACACCTCTGTGTTTGTGTTTTTGCATAATCCAATTGGCTGACTTATTCTTCTGTTCTGCAAATGTATAACAATTGGCACACATAAGATGATGACTAATTTGCATACTTAAACATAACATTTAAAGATACTTGTTATACTGAAAATGATTTCCTTAATGTTATTTCAACGTGTGTATTAACGTGTTGTGTCTTCACCTTACATTGCTTCAAGTAGCACCTTCAATTTACTGTATGTGATAGTGATAGTGATGTAACAGTTTAATTTATCTGTCAAAGGGTGAACTGGCCATTTCCTCTGAGATGGAGAAGCTGCAAACAGCCTTGTTCTTTGACAACGTCCCCAATACCTGGACCAAGCTGGCCTACCCCTCCACCTACAGCCTGGCTATATGGTGTGTGTGTGTAAATGTTGTGCTTTTACAAAAATGTTGGGAATTGGCTGTTTGCTATACTGTACGCTACATTACATATAGATGAATCCATCTAAATTAGCTGTTAGATAGTTACTGTATGGGCTATTTTGACTTTGACTAGAAGATTGACATTTTCCTAAGTGTTTGTGTGTGTCAGGTACAATGATGTGTTGCAACGCTGTAAGGAGCTGGACAGTTGGACTCAGGATTTGTCTCTGCCGAGTGTTGTCTGGCTGTCTGGACTTTTCAACCCACAATCCTTCCTCACTGGTAACACACATTGTGCACACAGATAAGAGTTTTCACCTAAGCTTCAATGCTTTTAAGAAAATGTATCTCCCTTTATCTTTTTACTCTGCACTAATCCTTTGGGTGATTTAAAATCTTGTTTTGGCTTTGTAGCGGTGATGCAGACTCTGGCACGTAAGAACGAGTGGCCCCTGGATAAAGTGAACCTGACAGTGGATGTGACAAAGAAATTTAAGGAAGAGTTTAACCAACCTGCCAGGGAGGGTGCATACATATATGGACTTTACATGGAAGGTAGACCAACACTGTCTTTATTTACTCTCTAATGTCAGGGAACATGGAGGGTCCTTACTGCTATCATTGATCAAGACTATTACACTACTATATTATCTTAGGACATTTTGATTAAACGCTCAATTTTCTCCCTCTGTGAATAAAATCATGTCATTCACGCTAAAGCTTCGTAACGTTTTGATACCATTTTTTCTCTTCTCCTCACTTCGTCTGACAGGTGCGAGGTGGGACACCCAGGCGGGGGTGATCACTGAGGCCCGTCTAAAGGAACTGACGCCAGGCATGCCCGTCATCTCGGTCCGAGCGGTGCCCAACGACCGCCAGGAGACCAGGAACATCTACGAGTGCCCGGTCTACAAAACCAAGATCAGAGGACCCACATATGTTTGGACCTTCAGCCTCAAGACCAGGGAGAGGCCCGCCAAGTGGGTGCTGGCAGGAGTGGCTCTGCTGCTCAGTGTGTGAGGAGGGGTCAGGGGTCCATTCAGAAGTTGAAAGGGATTTTAGATTATTGGGAAAGGTATCCATGTGAGATCCTCTGCTTGCTACTGACTATTGATCAATAGTGAAAGCAATTGTAGTCAAGTACTTCGAGTAGAATTTTCAGTTACTTGATCAAATCCCTTCTATGTTACTTTATACTTTTAGTATGTGTATTTGATTTAGTTACTTTACGGAGTTACTTACAGATTGAGATCATACATATTATAATCAACACAATATGAACAATTATTTTTAAATAGAGCTACATACAGTAGCATATTTTATGAAGTTAAACTTTGGTACTTTAAGTGTATTTTATTGTTGCTGTAATATTTCCTTTGTAAAATCTTGAATACAGGACCTGTAGAAAAGCAATTCTACACTGTGATACGACAGCTTTGCCTGATGATCCGTTACATTTTTCTACTGCTGTTGTTCAATTTATTAAACTTCAATATGACAAGAATGGAATCAGAGCTTATTTTCTTTTTATTGAAAAAGGATAAAATATACAGAAAGAAATGCCAAAAATGCACACACTAAATCACAGTTAGAACTGAGAACGTCAAAGCTTGTTTTGAACAAATCACATCTATAAACTAGAAGATACTCTAAAAGCAGGGGAGAGAAAAACCAGACTCTGCTGCCTCATTAGAGCGCTATTCAAGTGTGTTATTTTGTAACACTTGTACCTCTTACAGTATGTTATACGGCTGTTTTAATAGCACATTACAGTAAAATACACAGGTGAAGTCATTCTGACAATATGACAAGACAACCTCTGATTGTCCTGTTGCTCGTTCCCACTTCACAGTACACATGGGTGTAGTTTCCATCATTCAATAAAAAAAAGATAAAATAACAAAACAAATATGTGTAAACCAGCTGTTTTTCAACTGGAGATTCTAATGCACATACTGTAGCTCAGACACTGTATGTGCTAACAAGTCAATATCTTTCTAGTTTGGCCTCTGTGTGTATTTCTGTGTGTTTGCGCTCCTTTTCTAGTCGCTATCGGACCAATCGAGCTCCATCATGTCCATGGCCGCACTCGCCATATTGATCTTGGTTCCGTGTCGCACGCTGCAGCTCTTCACAGAGTTCTGATTGGACGAAGCCTGCATGCTCACCTGCACCCCCGAGTGACCTATGAGCCCCATTTCCCCTCTAATCTTTTGGCTGATGGCCTCGCTGCGGTCACCTCTCACTCCCTGGACCACCACTCCCATGTCACTCCTGCGACCCCTGACCCCCAGCTCGCTCCTCACCTTCCTCACTCCCAGGTCCCCCATGTTCATGTCCATGTCCCCTAGTCTGTCCATGTCCCCCATGTCATCCATGTCTAAGGACAGCATGTCCCCCAAGCCCCCTAAACTCCCCTGGAGACCCTTGAACATAGTTGGGAGCATCCCTCCTTCCATACCTCCCTCCAACCCTCTCTCATCTAGCCTGTCCCCTAATTTGTCTATCTCCCACCCTCCCTCCTTCTCCCGTTCCCTCTCCCCTTCTGCCTCTCCAAACCCGCCTGAGTACCCTCGGACTATGGTGGTCACCCTGCTCCTCTGCATGCCTCCTCTGTCCCGGTCCCCCTCCTCCCACGTCCTCTCCTCCCTCTCCACTACACCTCCCGGGAAGCTCCTGAGTGTCACCTGCACCCTTCCTCCCTCCCCACTTCCACCCTCGTCCCTCTCCCTCTGCCCCCAGCCTTTCTCCTCCAGGGTCCCTTCCTCTTCCACGTCTTCCTCTCCGAATCTCCCCTGCAACCCTCGGAACACGGCATGCAGCCTCCCGCTGTCGAGCGAGCCCACCCCCCTGTCCAGCACCGCACTGCTCCCCCTCTCCGTGTCTCCGTTGCTGAGGGTCCGGAGGAGGCTGCTGACCCCCGCGCTGCTCACCCCGGCACTGTTGCATTCCTGAGAGTGCGAGCGGAAAAAGGAGCCCGAGGAGCCGATGGACAGCGGTGTGAAGAACTGGTAGGAGAGGTGATTATAACAAGGTATTATTCAATGTTCTTTTCGACGGTCTGAACAGATCTGTATTTCCTCGACTTACTGGTGAGATGTTTGAGCGCTCCATGAGGAGGGAGGTGGGACTGGGGGTCATGTTGGACCTCTCCATCAGCCTCTCCTCCCACAGTTTGAGCCTCCTCTCCCTCTCCTCCAGCTCCTTCTCTTTGGAGTACAGCTCTCTCTCCAGCTTCCGAAGGCGCTCCAGGGTCGCCTCAATTTCACACCTGTAGAACGGGAACACGCAGACAAATTAGAAGTCATGTATTGTGGACTAGTTCAGGCACATGTGGCCTACTTATAAAAGCACCTTCACTGCAGCGACAAAGAAGCATTTGCTGTAACAAAATTGGGCTGTAACAATATACTAGTATAACTGAAACTTTAAGTATGAGATTTTTTTATTTTCTCAGAATAAACACACTCAGGCTCAAGTATATGATGTACTATGAAACAGGTTCAATGTTACCATGTATAACTTCAAATATTTTTGAAATGTGTATTTTCTAGTTGCCCATAGAAGTCCACAAGACTTAACATAGGAAGTAGTGACCTCATTACATTGCTACTTAAAACCCATTTTTATAGACGTACTTTTATATGTTGTCCATTATCTTTATGTTTTTTATCAACCTTTGTCTTATCCCTTATTGGTTTCTGTGTCTTTCTCTTTAGTTGTATCATTTGTTGGTTCTGTTTGGCTTGTTACATTACCTTATGCTTATCCTGCTTTTACATGTCCGTCAATTTAGTTTATAAAGTCTTTTTTTTAAAGGTGCTGTTTAAATAAAGTTGGTTTTATTGCCAATATATTTATTATCAATATGTTATATTATCATAAAGGAATTGAGATCTCTGCAGACAGAGATGTCAAAAGTACACACATCCTTTACTCAAGTAGTACAGATACTCGTGTTTAGAAATACTCTGGTAAAAGTAGAAGTACTGACTAAACTTCTTACTCAAGTCAAAGTAAAAAAGTATGGGCTTCAAAATGTACTTAAGTAAAAAAGAAGCCATAACTACCAGCTGTTAAATAGAGTAACTGGTAACTGGACCTCACTTTATACTAATAGAACAATAAAGATCTTCTATTTAAAATTGTAATTATGTCATTGTTAATGAATGTTTCAATACTGAACAACAACCATTCAGAACACAAGCAAAGAAAAACTAAGTGGGGAAATAAACGCCTACATTGTAGATTCTAGGGTGACTACCTCTTCCTTGGAAACAACACAACAATTATTATGGTAATGCTTTAAAAAAACTGGATTGAAGTGAGTTATATGGTGCACTTTATAAATGTAAGAAGTAAAAGTAAAAAGTTGTCAGAAAAGTAAGTAGTGGAGTAAAGTACTGATACCTGAAAAACAAAGTATTTGTACTCCACTACTTCCCACCTCTGGCTGCAGAACACAATAATGCTGGAGTGAAATGACTGAACTGTGTCCCTGCAGTACTGCCTGTCACCACAAGAGGCCACTGTTAGAGCTTCTCAGTGACTGTGCATGAACCTGCATTCACAAACACAATCAACTCTCACAGCAGCACCTAAATATAGACAGATCTGACGCACAGCCATTCCTCTTCCTGTGTTCCCTATGTTCCTCCCTTTTCATTCATCCCACCCCTTAACCCCCCTGACTCTTCCTCCCCCCTCCTCCTCCTTTTCTTGTCCAACTTTTTCCACCCGTACCCAAAACTTCACTCAGAATTGATTGCCTCGCTGTACTCATGTTAAATATGCTCAGAATCTCTCACCTCTCTCCCCTACCTCTCTTTTTCTCCCCCGTCCCACCCCTTTAGCCTGTCCTCTCAGTTCCCACTAACCTCTCTGTTCCTGCCTTGTACTGTATTTTACATTTCACATTCACCCAATACATTTCTGTTTCAAACCTCTCCTCTTCTGTAGCCCATTCTTGATTTCTCCTCTACCTCCCTCCCCCCCTCTCCCCTGTTCTTCCCCCCGTGGTGCAGCGAGGGCAGAGTGGAGGAGAGGAGGAATCTCTACCATGGACACTTTCCAAAGAGCTTATTATAGACTGAAGTAGAGCACAGGGTCACACATTCAACTTCTCTCCTGAGCTTTAGAGTCCCACAGAGCTGAGCTACACACATGTGTGACTATGTTGAATTTGTGTGCATGCATCTTGACTTTTATTTGGAGTACGGTTAATCACAGACTGCATTTGTCATTCTGGCCCAGACTTAACTGTATACACTGCCTCATTCTCAGACGCAGTGCAGATACACTCAGTGTTTTCTTTTAAATGTCTATTCAAGACTGAGTGAGTTTGTGTGAGTGTGTGTACCTCCACTGGTCCTTGTTGTGTAAGAAGGAATTACACTGTTCCGGTAGCCTGCTGTCGTTGGCCATGGTCTCCAGGGTTACCATCACCTGTTTGAACTGCGGACGCTCCTGTAGGTACAGATACAATAACCAGCTGACACACTCTTTGATGTCAGTGAGGTATAAAAGCCATTTATTGGGGATTAAGGACTGCATCTTTTGTGCATTTAGCTTACCTTTGGGTCTGCTTGCCAACATTTCCTCATCAGCTCTGCAAAACTAGCTGGACAGCTGGTGGGGATAGTCAGCCTCTAAACACATTCAAATACAAGAAGCAGAAGCGTATGACTTTTAACAGAAAATATTTATCGAACAAAAATAATTAAACAGACTAACCGTTTGAATCCCCTGCGAACTCTAAACTATTTTGCCAAAATATTCATGACTAAATCAGCAATAATCAAATTAGGAGTTCTGTGAGGCTTTGGTGAAACAAAGTGGAGCTTTGGGCTCAATGCTAATGTAGGCATGCTAACTTGCTTATAATGAGAACGTTAGAATGTGTTTTAATGTATAATGTTTACCATGTTCACCTGAAATTGCATCATTATGAGTGAACAAAAAGTACTGTTAAGGCTAATGGGGCTGTAATCAGTCAAATGTAAAATGTATCCTTCTTGTTTGATTTCCAGTATTACAGTTTGTACTTGGATGCTTCGGTAAAATAGTTTTTGAACATTCATGATAATAAAGGCTCTGAGGGTCGGAAGGGATCAGGGAAAGATGATAGTCAGTGATATTCAGCCTCTGAGAACCATGAGTTTGTACAAGATGTCATTGCAAATAATATTAGTAAAGCCATTTTACTATTAGCTAAATATATGACTAAACTTATATCAAACTTATGTTGGTTGATAGTGTGGCTGAAGACATTATGTTTCATTTCAGAGTCGTCAGCACGAAAACATTAACACACATTTTGATTCAAACATTTCTCAATCCTGATTGGTTCTCAGCAGTACAGAGTGTTTGATGTCACATTTTTCCATTCCCACCCAGCTGGAATCAGTAAAAAGAGCTCAGAGAAAAATGTGTACACAAAACTCAAATGTTTTTGTATATCTGTTTAAAATACACTCAACCTCTTTATGAGATAAAATGGGAACATTTAAACAGTCTGGCTCCATGTTGATCTTTCTGTAAACCACACAATGCCATTAAGATAATGTCCCTAGAAGATCCCTGGCATCGCCAAAGGTCTGCATGAGCACAGACATCTCCATAGTACGGTTCAGTAAATGGAAACAGCTTTCTCTGGGGATTAATCCTAAAATATCACCGACTCTGAGTGGAGAGAGGGCAAGTACAAGGGTCAGGAAGAGAGGTACAGCAGTGGAGGGGGAAATCAGAGGGAGACTGGGAAAGGGAAATAGAAAGAGAGAGTTATTTAGGGAGAGTATTTGGAGATTAGCCAACAGCTACGCAGGAATCATGTTCTCCGAGTTGTTTGTAAGCTGTGTGTGTGTGTGTGTGTGTGTGTGTGTGTGTGTGTGTGTGTGTGTGTGTGTGTGTGTGTGTGTGTCTGTCTGTGTGTGTGTGTGTGTGTGTGTGTGTGTGTGTGTGTGTGTGTGTGTGTGTGTGTGTGTGTGTGTGTGTGTGTGTGTGTGTGTGTGTGTGTGTGTGTGTGTGTGTGTGTGTGTGTGTGTGTGTGTGTGTGTGTGTGGCAATAACTGAAACACATACACCGTATAACCAGCATCCCCCACCTCTCATAAACCTCTTGAATCAACCCTCCTCTCCCTGCAATCGCTCCTCTGTAAACCCCTTTTCTCTCACTCTCCCTGGCTTTCTCTGTCTCTCTTCCTCTCGTAAAGGCTTTTGCCGGGGGGGGAGCAGTGGAGTCTGGCCCAGCTCCACTGCTGTGTATCCAGGCCTTACAAGAGCAGAGAACTGACATCAGGGCCTAAAAATACCCAGCCGCAGCCTCACCAGCTCACAGTGGAAACCATGAGAGCATCGCATTGTTCCTGCAGCCTTCGCAAACTCTGGTGGGTCTGCACGCTTACAGACTGTTCAGAAAAGTTTGTGTGTGTGTTGGGAGGAGAGGGGGTTACCTCTTGTTTTTCCACCACCAGCCATGCAACCTGCAGCCCTTCAAAACCTTTGAAAGGAACCTCCCGAGTCAGCATCTCCCACAGCACCTGGAAACAGATCAGACAGCGTTAGTTCATTCAGACAGATGAGATTTCTCCAATGTGTTGGTAGTAGCTCAGTCTTATCAGGCCCCACAAAAACAAACCAAAATACCCCCTACAATAGAGTTGGTAATACTTTCATCACTCTCAGCACTAGTATGAATTGATTTCAAACAATACGTTACAATACCTTACATTGAGGAATATTACAAAAAATCTAAATACTTTCCTCATTTAACACAAACTGGGAAATTACATTTTCTCCATGTTTTTCTTACCCTAAATGTCTAAAAAAGGGATAGGCTTTTGTTAAATCAGCAAAGGATTACATAAAATCTGACAAAAATAAATATTAGAGCAAGCATTTAATTCCAGCTGTCAGTACTTGACATGTTTCAACAATCTGTACCATATTGGTTGGTACCTTGAACCTTGAACCAAAATAAGTTTTGCGGTTTGATTCCCAGGCTTACTATAAAGTGCTGGGGTTGACGCAGCCTTATTCAGCCACTTGTTAGCAACTGCCTTTTCAAGACACGTCAAAGCTTAAAAATTACCGGGTGAGGTATTTACTGATGTCTCTTAAGTCGTCAAACAAGACAAATCAAGAGTGTATAATTGTAGAGAACCATAGAATGTTTCAGGAGTAGTTCCTACAACAGTCTATACTGATATTTATACAGGGCTACCAACTCACCACGCCATAGGAGTAAGTGTCACAGGTCTCGGAGACAGGCAGGCTCTGAATGACTTCAGGAGCCATCCAAGGAAAAGTGCCCACCACCGTCATGTGGGTGGTATGGGACAGGAACTTAGACGCCCCAAAGTCACAGATCTGAGATCCAGAGAGCAGTGAAGAAAACACAATATTACATGAGGCCCTGAACTGGAATATAAATACTAATATGCAGCTAACTGAGCAGCACAAGGATACACACCTTCAGGGTCCTGTCTGCTGTCATCACCACTGAAACAAAGAGAACAGAGAAACCGGTCAAAGCTGTGCAACATGAAATAGTATTATACTTCAGCAGACAGACAGTTGACAAAGCAAATGAGAAAAGGAGGAACAATCTCTAAATATGGTTAGGGATAATGTGTTACCGTTCCGTGACTTGAGGTCTCTGTGAATGACTTTGACTGGAGCTTCAGCGTGGAGGTAATGGATCCCTGTGAGGATATCAAGCATTAATAAATGGCAAAAACCGTTGTTTTGGTGTAGTTTCATTCTAACATGGTTTGAGCATCAGGTTGACCCAGAAATCCACCAGATTAATTGAGTTGAACAAGTGTTTGTTTGTCTGTTTACATCAATGGAACAATTGTGCATTTTCTAGTCTATGCATTGTTTTGCTTTTTTAGAAAATAATCCTACTCATTTCGCCTTTAAAATAATATCACTGATAACATTTAGAAATCTAAATATTATTATTTTTAAATTTGACATATTTCACTTCCCCATTAATCAGCAAGGTATATTTTGCTGTTCACAAGCATTTAAAAATGATATTTCTCACACATAATGTGAATACACTGTATTGTGTCCAAAGTAATATATTTCACTAGCCTGCATATTTACAATTGTATTGGATTATTTTATTTTGCCTTTTTGCACTTCGTAGCATTTGCAAAGCTTGGATAGAGACAGGGATTAAGAAGCAAATAAAAAGTTGTGTAAACTATTATTAACTCTGGTGCATGATGACCAGAGTATCACAGTTTCAGGACACTTGTCATCATACCAAGGCTCTGACCTCTGCTTAATATAAGAAGCACGGTGATTCAGTTTTCAGATATCATTACAGTACAATCATTGCTTCTTGGCGTACCTTTGGCTATCTGTATGGCCCATGTCATGATTTGCTCCATGTCCATCTCCTCGCTCTGCTCACTGGAGAGGTACTCATACAGAGACCCTCCACTGGCAAACTCTATGAGAACACACACATTGTCATTATAGGATAACAGTTCAAATATATAGAGCATACAGAGCTACTGTACGCATTAACAAAACCTGGTATTGTAGAATAAATAACCACTTATATACAACTGTTACAGCAGATAACAAACTATGTAGTTGACATAGACAGCCTTTTAAATAGAAGTTACACAAATTCTAAACTAGTGACAGAAACTGCCCTGTAAAACATGTCGAAAAAAGCTCTTGCCTGGACATTTTTGCAGTGCAGTAATAGTTTACAAATGAATGTATTTAAATGTTTGAGAAACATCACACAGCTGAACACAGTACGCCACACAGACCATCAAACAGAGACTCAAACCAGTGGAAAAGCTCAAAACCTTTAAACCCTGACGGTCTAATCCAGATTATCTCTGCACTTTTAACCTTCAATTTCCTGTTAAATCCGGCAATTAAAAGAGACAAGTAGAAGACAGAGGATAGCTTCAAACAGGTATAATCTGTCCTTTCCTTATGGATTTGTACTACTTGCAGAATGCATTTTACTGGCACCAAACTCCAGTTCTTATTTTTGCCTACTATACTCTTTTATTTTTAGTAAACATTGGACTATATTGACTCAGCTGCAGCTAGAATTGTTGCCCGGCAAGTCTGTAGTAGTGTGTTGGTGCTATATCTTAACCATATGAAGCCATCGAGGATTACAAACACATCCAAACATGCCGGTCTCAGTTACAAATGTCCTGCCAGGAAACCCAACAAGAACCTGCTCTTAGAGTAAACATCAATATTTCAAAACACACACATAAACATCAGTCGGAGCATGTGCTAACGGGTTCGTAAGCACCACATTGAGGATCAAATACACAGTAATAAAGATAACGTGCAGATTTACTAGTGTAGTTTTATATTAGTGGACACTTTGCCCTGTCCCTAACCCTTGATGTCATACGTTAAACCTTGACATGACCTCCAACCTTATGTTCCTTATATCTATAAGGCCCTAACCCCAAAGATAACAATACTCATCTACATTTATAGTGAACTCTTATCTGAATGAAGCACATGTTTAGGTTTTATGTTCTGAGTCCCATACAAATAGACAAGCATTCGCACACACATGTGGGGTCTGACCTGTGATAATGCCATAGTTGGGAGATTCCAGCACGGCTCCATAAAACTGAATGATGTTTTTATGACTCAGGACACTGAGAATCTCAGCCTGGATGAGGAGACAAGACAAAGAGAGAAACAGAGATATATTCATTTCATTAGCATCCTCCTTTAGTTTTACAATAACTGACATTGGCAAAGAAACATGATCTTTAAGAAAATAAAGTGTAAATCATTCCGGATGGTTAGTAGGAGTGTGCAGGATGCCTGGACTGAGGTCTGAACCTCCTTCATACCACCAGGTTGAGTCTCTAAACAAAGACCTTCCACACAGCAGTGACAAACATGCCAATTCATCTGAACTGACATATAAGTCATACCCTCTGAATCGGTGGAATATATGACCGTTGCCAAGCAACATAACAACTAACCAGCAATAATATGAGGTTACACTAAAGACTGAACCAAAGTATTTTCATGTTAAATAATAAGCCTGTGGTTTTTAATCCATGTGTGAAGATATAAGTGTGTAAAACTGTCATAAAACATAAACAGAGGCCATTCTGCATGATTACCTTTGTTTTGTAAACTTTAAAAACATTACTGGGCTAATTTGTCTTACATAAACATTCAAAAGCACTTAACAGACAGTAGTATCACAGTGTGATGCTATATAGTTGATGTCAGTCTTTTTTCCACTACTATGTTAATGTATTGTTTGTAAAAAGATGACTTAAAATATATTCTAAATGCGAGATCTCTTTTTAAAGTATCCACTAAACTGGATTTATAACATGATTCATCGATTTGTATTGCCATATTCATTGTACAAACACTTTAAGCAAGTGTGTGAGAGAGAAAAAAAGTCAGACAACAAATCAAAGTCTCTCCTTCAGCCCATGCATGTTGTGTCCATAACCTCTGTACTTATCTTTTAAATGTGTTTTACATTTATAATATTTAAATCTGCGACCACAACAGCAAAACTGGCTGATTTTTGTTTTTATTCCAATTCTATTTCAATGTAAATACTGCTATACAGTGGGGCAAAAAAGTATTTAGTCAGCCACTAATTGTGCAAGTTCTCCCACTTACAAAGATGAGAGGCCTGTAATTTTCATCCTAGATATACCTCAACTATGAGAGACAAAATGAGAAAGAAAAAAAAAAATCCAGAAAATCACATTGTCTGATTTTTAAAGAATTTATTTGCAAATTATGGTGGAAAATAAGTATTTGGTCAATAACAAAAGTTCATCTCAATACTTTGTTATATACCATTTGTTGGCAATGACAGAGGTCAAACGTTTTCTGTAAGTCTTCACAAGGTTTTCACACACTGCTGCTGGTATTTCGGCCCATTCCTCCATGCAGATCTCCTCTAGAGCAGTGATGTTTTGGGGCTGTCGCTGGGCAACACGGACTTTCAACTCCCTCCAAAGATTTTCTATGTGGTTGAGATCTGGAGACTGGCTAGGCCACTCCAGGACCTTGAAATGCTTCTTACGAAGCCACTCCTTCGTTGCCCGGGCGGTGTGTTTGGGATCATTGTCATGCTGAAAGACCCAGCCACGTTTCATCTTCAATGCCCTGGCTGATGGAAGGAGGTTGTCACTCAAAATCTCACGATACATGGCCCCATTCATTCTTTCCTTTACATGGATCAGTCGTCCTGGTCCCTTTGCAGAAAAACAGCCCCAAAGCATGATGTTTCCACCCCCATGTTTCACAGTAGGTATGGTGTTCTTTGGATGCAACGCAGCATTCTTTCTCCTCCAAACACGTCTAGTTGAGTTTTTACCAAAAAGTTCTATTTTGGTTTCATCTGACCATATGACATTCTCCCAATCCTCTTCTGGATCATCTAAATGCTCTCTAGCAAACTTCAGACGGGCCTGGACATGTACTGGCTTAAGCAGGGGGACACGTCTGGCACTGCAGGATTTGAGTCTCTGGCGGCGTAGTGTGTTACTGATGGTAGCCTTTGTTACTTTGGTCCCAGCTCTCTGCAGGTCATTGACTAGGTCCCCCCGTGTGGTTCTGGGATTATTGCTCACCGTTCTTGTGATCATTTTGACCCCACGGGGTGAGATCTTGCGTGGAGCCCCAGATCGAGGGAGATTATCAGTGGTCTTGTATGTCTTCCATTTTCTAATAATTGCTCCCACAGTTGATTTCTTCACACCAAGCTGCTTACCTATTGCAGATTCAGTCTTCCCAGCCTGGTGCAGGTCTACAATTTTGTTTCTGGTGTCCTTTGACAGCTCTTTGGTCTTGGCCATAGTGGAGTTTGGAGTGTGACTGTTTGAGGTTGTGGACAGGTGTCTTTTATACTGATAACGAGTTCAAATAGGTGCCATTAATACAGTTAACGAGTGGAGGACAGAGGAGGCTCTTAAAGAAGAAGTTACAGGTCTGTGAGAGCCAGAAATCTTGTTTGTTTGTACGTAGGTGACCAAATACTTATTTTACCGAGGAATTTACCAATGAATTCATTAAAAATCCTACAATGTAATTTCCTGGATTCTTTCCCCCCATTCTGTCTCTTGTAGTTGAAGTGTACCTAGGATGAAAATTACAGGCCTCTCATTTTTTTAAGTGGGACAATTTGCACAATTGGTGGCTGACTAAATACCTTTTTGCCCCACTGTATATAATGTTTTCTGTCTGTGTTTTTAATTGTTTTGTTTTATTAATTTATATGCACCACAACACCACATAAAATTCCTCGTATGTGTTAACCTACCTGGCAATAACCCTGTTTCTGATTCACCCACAGGTCACCCTAACTTCAAACTGTTTCCTGACACTGGGTCATGAGCCTACCAGCCGAGTATTAATAACATGGAAGGACATTTTGTTTGGATTAGTATCGGGGTCATACTCATGGAGAGCCGCCTGATCTGCAGTGCATGAAGCTGCAAACGACCACACACTTAACACACAATGGGAGGAACAGGGGACTACTGGCATAAATACAAAAAACTAACCATCTACATGGAGTGGCTGAAGTAGGGGAAAAAAGAGAGGTATGTTTAAGATAAACATGTTCAACGGCAGACAACAGGGGGGGGAAGGAGGGGGTTGGGAAAGAGGGGGCTATGGGTGTCCAAAGATAATCTAGGAAATTACAAGAAACTAGAGCAGTAACATGCCTCAGAGGTGTCAATAACTTCCAGGAAATTATGTTTGTGTGCATCTATGCTGCAGAAGTTCGTGATTTGTTTATGTGTGTGTATGTGTATGTGTATGTGTGTGTGTGTGTGTGTGTGTGTGTGTGTGTGTGTGTGTGTGGTGTGTGTGTGTGTGTGTGTGTGTGTGTGTGTGTGTGTGTGTGTGTGTGTGTGTGTGTGTGTGTGTGTGTGTGTGTGTGTGTGTGTGTGTGTGTGTGTGTGTGTGTGTGTCGGTGCATCCCTTACCTCTTTGTCAATCTTTAGAAGTTTCTTTACAGCCACTTCCTTGTCCTGGGATATCCAGAGGGCTCGGTAGACGCTCCCAAAGCTGCCTCCTCCACAGTTCTCATAGAAAAGCAGATCCTCATGCTTTATCTGCACAAACGACGAGCCAGGGGACGACATGGCATACTGACTCACTAGCATACAAACACACACATACACACACTAACACACACACACACAGACTAAAGTGAGTGCAAGCTCAACTACCAAAAAGTGTACAAGTCCCAGATCAGATCGTAGAGAGCGAAGGATAAGAAATAAGGAGAGGTGGGATAGTTTCCTCCACAGGTTCAGAGTAGATGTTGTCAGTCAGCGGAACAGACTGTCAGAGAAGAAGCCAGAAAGTGCTGGAAAGAGAGAGAGAGATAAGTTTGCTCCCTGTGAGTCAGGAAAAGTCCAAGCTCCCCTGTTCCTACTAGACCAGAGAAGGTATTACATTGCCTGATAGTGGTGATCCAGTGGAACTACAGTACAAATCATACACACAAAAAGAGTGGGGATTAATGGGAGGTGAGTGTGTAAATTTGCAGTCAGTCAGTATGTGCCGTCAGGCTGCAGCAGACACACCGTTCAAATATGGTCACTGGCATCCAGGGCATTCCTTCTTCCTGGATAACTGTGGCTATATAAAGCCAACAAATGTGATGCAAATTCGCTGTGTCGCTATGCCCCCTCCAAGAAGAAGAAGCCAGGGAGGGACTTATTGTTACTCAGACTGACAGGAATGACCCAGTGACGACATCAAGCAAGATAGCCGTGCTGACATCACTGTGTAGGGACAGGTGAGATCAGCTCGAGGAAGTTAGGACGCTTCTCAGTCGGTCATGAAGTGCAAGAGGAGACATGAGAGTGATTCATTGCATAAATAAAACATGACTCCTAGAAGCTGTGATGAATCATTACACACCATAGTACAAACGTGTCCAAGAACTATATGTGTGTCTCACAGTTAGCACTACAGAACAGAGACTGTAAGAGGATAAGGGTTCTTCCTCTGAGGAGCAGGCATAAGCCAAGCATTCAGGTACAAAATGAAATATCTTGTCTGCAAGTGGAAAGTTTGGAATCATACGGATAGTAGAGGAATGCTCAGGGAGAATAATGTCTAACAATCAAATTCAAAGGGTTCCTCCTGTGGGAAGCATGCATCAAAGTGTATACAAATCTGTGAACTGGGTTTTGACCTCTTTAAGAAAGAGGTCATCAGGGCGGCATGGAAGTCAGTTTTACAGCTTGACTCACTCGTAGTAGTAGACCATTTCTCCCAATACTTGTGCACAATATGTTCTATTTCTAATCCTCATATTGCAAGCAAAGCTCTACCTTTCATTGACAAGAAAATGTCTCGCGTATTTATATGCATAATGATGAATAGATTGGAACACGGTTAATGCCAACAAAACTACACAAGACTCTAAAGAGAGCAGGCTTTCTGTAAAAAACTAAATACGTCTTATTTCCTCAGATCTGCTACAGCTACCTCCTTTTGCAGCAGGATACATCTGGTATCTCTCACGTATTAGAGCTGGCAAAATTACTTTGAAATGTGTGAAACGTCCTTTTAAGTTGAATCCAATCCGAGTATGTACATGTTGATATGCTTCACCCTCCTTAGTCAACACATTTTTAAGAAGGTCATCAAAGCATAAGCACTGTTAAATTAGCTATTTTTTATTTACAAGGCACACCACACATACAAGCACAGTTACAGGCTGCTCTAAGGAAAGCCAGCCTCTCAACACACACCATCACATCAGAAGCTCCTGAGATCAAAGGAAAATTAATGACACTTGTCAAGAACACACTCACAATCTACACACACATATATAAAAATAAAATTACACGGACTGAGATGACAAGATTCCCCCTCAAAGTACAAGACGCCTTTAAGACCCAGCATCGAGGATCAGTGCTTCCAAATCAAAGAAGTACAATTTGGAAAAGCAAGTGATCTCAGAACACACATTCATGTCCTACAGGAGATTCAGCCCGATGCAATAACAAAACGCAATACTGCAGTGACAAATTTGAACACTGCTTGCAATACAATTAGGGCTTTAATCCAGCTAATACTCTGTTTAGTAGTTTTGAACATCTGACTAATAAAGGGACATCGAATCCTAAAGATCCTCAAAGACTTGGATATAATCATGTAGATTATGAAGTATATAAGTATTTAACTTGTATCTGTATAGTCAACAGGGGAAATGAAGAGTCTAGGTTTCTAGAGTTTATGGTGCTTTCTGTCTATGAGTAGGACAATCAGGAGAGTAAGGTTTGCTTTACAGGCAGGTACAGTAATATATTGTAAACTAGATCTCATCTGGGGTAGCACAATATTACAGGACACTCCGATAGAAATCCACTGTATAGAACACAAAGCCTATGAAGTTCAGTCATGCAGGGAATCGATTCAAGTTCTATACATTACAGTTCTATCTAACAGGTCCCAAACAATAACAACTAGTACGGTTAAGACCCTCAATCCGGGGGCAGAGACACGGCGACGAGAGAGCAGCTGAACAGTTTCTGTCTGTCCAGGAAGAAGAGGCTTTTAATGGCACAGTAATAAGTCCGTCATCCATCATAGTTCTAAAGTCATTGTGATTTGCTACTGAACTGCCAGTCGTGTTGAGTTACTTTATCCAGGTAATGCGTGTGTGTTTTTTTGAAATGCTAACGTCACAGAGAAGGCGATGGCGGTGGAAGTTCTGGAGCTCATGTCCGCCGAGGCTCCAGCCTATAGGAGAGCTGCGTCAGCGCCCTCTGGTTGTCGATAACGCAGAGTTTCCTCACGTAACCCCGCACTTCCGCTTGATTTTTGTTGGGTTGGCATATGTCGGGATCTAATGCAGTAAAAGAGGAAACAGGGAAAAAGGGGATTTCATTGGTAAGACACGTTTACAGCATGGAAATGTAATTCAATAAAGCAATAAACAGACTTACTGAATGGTTGGCTTCTACAGTGCCTCACTTGCCGAATTGCGTTTGCTATAATACGCTGAAAATATAAGAGGGATAAGAGGCTCTTTAGATATTACAACAACTTGAGAGACGAGAGAATAAAACATGCCCTTAAAATAAGTCATTTGCCCTTTAAAATGGGCACACAAACTCACCATTTTCTCAAAATTGACCATGTTGTCAATGAAGGTCTTGTTGCCCTCGTGTGTAAATGTCATATCTGTTAAAGAAAATAATGAAAGTTAATGAGAGCCATGTTCCTCTGAAGGTTTATTCCGTGACTGGAGTACTAATGTGCTCTGCCGTACCTTTGAGGAGGAGCGGCATGAAGGGGATGATTGGTGGTTCCAATTTGGTGACAGTGAGGCGGTAGGATCGGTGGTTTCTTGATGGGTCCTGTAAAAGAAAAAAACATTTTCATCTCTAGTGATACAGCTAGTTGTGTTTAAGGATATGTATCTACTGTACATACATCTATAGGTTTCTGTTGCCACCCCAATACAATTGAAGTGAATTATATTTCATATAACTCACCATCATACTCTCAAACTCAGCATAGAACTTCTTGAACTTGGTGGGTAGTTTCTGCCAGGAAACACAAAAGACCTCAGTGACATGAATGTAGCAATTTAGTGAAAGTGTAATACATCCAAAGGTACTTTAGATCGAGGCAGATTAGATTAAGTTTACCTCCCACGTCTGGCTCAATCTGCTGACAGCGGGGTTGCTCATGCCCATAATGATGGCAAAGAATGAATTCAGGTTCTTAAACTCCCGACAGCTGTCGACAAAACACACAAAAGCAAGATATGAAGTGTATGTGTGCAAAGCGGCCTGCGTCTGAAGTGTGACAGTCGCAGCAGGTCCCACTCACTGTGCTGCTATCTTGATGAACTTCTTGAGGAGTTGGACTCTCTTGCTGAGCTGTGAGCAGAGGCAAACCTCAGTGACCACCCACAGCTGGACCTGATTGAACCTCCGCAGAAACAGGTCCAGGTTAGCCGTGGTTCTTCTGAAGCTCTGCCGGCCGAACGTGTGGTAGAGCAGCTCATGCTGGGGAGAGGAGGGGGGAAGGGACATTAAAGGGGAGCAGGGTTGGAGCTAAGCCAGTCAGCAGGAAATGCCACATTGTATCTATCAAGCATTTCTCCTGCAGGGCTTTTATCATGAACAATGATACATCACCAGAGCTGTAAATACCCCAATTGCTATTAAAGGTTACACTTTATATACTTCAAAGTGTAAATGGCAACACACTACATGCTTGTGTTCTTCAACTGGCCTTGGATTGTTTTTAGGTGTGTGTATGTGCATACAGTTTGTGATACCTCATGCACACAGCTGAAGAGCTCCCAGTCAAACATGGTCATTTGGTAAGCCAGGTCCTTAGAGCTCATCAACTCAAAGGTTGACATGGAGCCTGCAGTGGGACCCTCCTGGTCTGGAAGAGGAGTCTGAGGCACACAGACAAAAATACACACATTCATAAACACGTTTTTTTTGTTTGCTTGTGTTCTTTTCCCAGTTCAAGTGTGGTCTGTGTTGTATTTAGTTGTTTTATGACATTTTTGTATTAATAAATGGTTGTATGCAAGGTCTTTGGATGTGTACATTTATATAGACAAATGTATATTTTTATGAAATACAATAATTGATACATATATTTATTTGTCTTATTAATGTAAATACTGCTTCTATTCAGTTGTTTACTGTGAGCATGAACTCTATTAAACTGAAGAACAAAAAAGACACAGAGTACAGATTCAAACATATTAAACACCTAATGTATAACATTTAAGACATTTTTACACATGTGGGTTATTTCAAACAATGTCATTTGAACAAAATCAATGTTTAACATTTAATATTTAGCCTAACATTAGCTCAAAGCCTAGCTATCTCTGCTTTGATGATCCTTTCCGTTTCGTCACAATCACATGAAACCACAACAAAGACTGCACGAATGTTATATTTTGAATACATTTTTTAAAGAAAGTTTACACATTTTAAGTAAACAGGGACAATATGAATCTCTTACCAAACTGTTGAGCTGGTCTCGGGTGCAAGCAAATAATCTGCCGTTGATGCTCAGAGTAGAAAACACTGAAACGTCATTTGGCTTCACCATTTGTTTTTCTGTAACAAAGACAGGGATAGTAAAACAGTGAAACCGTTTTCATCCTGCTCGAGGAAATATTCATTAGCAATCAGTGCCTGAACTGATTTATAATCTGTCTTTAGGTAACGCTGCAGTGAAGTGCTCCCTCATATCCAGATGTGTCTGTATTCTCCTCACCTGCAGAGCCCAGGTGGAGCAGCACCAGCTCATCGGTGGTGCCCAGCTTGTCAGCCACAGCGCTGACCACCTCTCTTCCAGTCGCTGTCACGGCAACCCGGATAGTGGTGTATGTGTGATCACTGCAGTACACCTTCAATAGGACTACACACGCACACACAAAAATAACATTAGAAATACAATACTATGGTTTGTGAGCGATACCGATTTGTTACAATAAAGTTTACAAGATAGAGATGCAAACAAA